GTGGCAAGGTTTAAATTGATTTTATTAGCACCGAGCATGATTGATTTAAAATGGAATTATTTTCATTTTCATTGAGTAGAGCATGCCCACTTGGAATTTACTGAACTGCTCTGATGATTTGAGAATTTTTGTAAATTATGATTTTCCTGTTAAATCCATGCCCACATGGAATTTTTCTGATTATTTCTAGAATTTGAGATTGATTGTGAATTTCAGAATTTTTTGTAAATCCTGCATGGTTTTGTCTTTGATATAGTCATGATTTCTGACCCCCGCTAGTGGGAGTAATGCTAGCACATGTTGACATGTTTACTGATATAACCGGTTCATTCTGTAATCCTGCCTATGGGATAATACATTGGTAATTTCTGACGCCTGCCACTGGGCGAATACATTGGTAATTTCTGACGCCTACCACTAGGCGAATACATTGGTAAATTTTGACGCCTGCCAATGGGCGAACATATTAGTAATTTCTGACGCCTGACAGTGAGTGTTAGACGCTAGCCATGACTTATAGATGATACTACTATTGAATTTTCTTCTACATTAACAGTTTTGTCATTGAACGCTTTGTTATTGAATTGAATCTAAACGGTTTGTCATTGAACGATTTGCTATTGAATTGAATTTAATTTTGTATTAACGGTTTATCATTGAACGTTTTGTTATGTTAAGCTGTTTATCTAGCATGCTTAAAATTTTACCCACGGGCTATCCATATTTTTACTTATTGATATATTTTATCTCACCTAGTTTTCCTTGTCCACCATTTCAGGAAGCGAATTCAAGGACGAGAAAAAACGAGGGGAGTGACGAGTTAGAAGGCTAGCCATTTTGTAAATTGAACATAGATTTCAAATATAAATCATGATATTGTAAGCTAAACTTTATTTGGAGATTTCATGATATCAGGGCAAATTTTAAAATGTTACCTTTAGATTTTGTGGTATCAGCTTGTGGTATGATAAGTTCCGAGCCTTGTGCATTCGTGGGACCCGTTCACGAGTGCACGGCTTCTGTCACGTCCCCGGATTTGGGTTCTGGGGAGTGACAGAATCTTAAGAGAATTTAAAAAAATACTCAATATTAATTCTTATCTCATATATCTGTTCTTTTTCTCTACTATTATTTTATTTAAAATTTTAGATAATATTCTCTCTTCTCTCAATTAAAAAACTATAATATGGTTAAATAGGATTAAATACCTATGTGTTGTATATGCATTGTATGTGATTATATTTATACATTAATTTTTATTATTGTTGATGCTGTTGTTGTTATTATTATTATTATTATTATTATTATTATTATTATTATTATTATCAATTAGCAATTTCAAAAATATGTGTTAAGAAAAATAAAAATAAAGCATATATATGTAAGCTAAAATAAATAAATAAAAA